TGCCGTGCCAGCCCGTGCCCGGCGACTGGCAGTGCGTCGGGCGGTCAGTGCGAGGGCTCGGTAAACGTTTGCTATTAACAAACCGCGCCAGCAGTCGTGAGTCCACGCGGGACAATCTCTCAGAAGGGAGGTTCCCTCCATCCCCACCCCCAGGCCCGGGGGAGGGAGGAGGGGCCTTTCCACACCGGCCACGCGTGTGCAGCAGCGAGGCTGGGCCCTCGACGCCGACCCTCTGCCTGCCGCAGGCTCTGCCCGCCGGCGCCCACCTACCGTACACAGAGATGGCGCCCAGGATGACCCAGGCGGACCACTCCGGGAGGTACTTGATGAAGACCAAGGCCATGAGCGCGCTGATCATGATGAGGTAGGCCTGCTGCAGCACCAGCGGGCCCTTCCAGTGGATGCACACCATGCCCACCGCCCCGAAGTTCCAGACGACCAGGAACAGGGTGGGGTAGTCCATGGCCACGTTGTAGGTCTTGAGCACTTCCCTGCGGGACCCAAGTCAAGCCCGGGGGCGGGGCAGTCAGCGAGAGCCAGACCCGGATGCCATTCAACACCCTGCTCCTCAGCCCTCAAGTCCCAGCCTGGTTTCCAGCTCCTGGTGCCACTGACCAGCATTCCCTTCCCCATTCCTAGGAGTCCTGCACGAACCACTGGAAATGGTTCTGGAATGAGGGGGGGAGGAAGCCGACGGCTCGTTCTTGGGGTGTCCACGTGGGTGTGCACTGGCACGACCGGAAGGCCCTCAGCCCCTGGACATTCCGGGGAAAGTGCTCTCTCCGCTCCCTCCTGTCTCTGTGCCCCTGGGTCAGGCTGATATCCCAAATCAAGGGCAATGGAGACCCTTTTTGCCATAAACCAGGAAGAACCCAGGTCCAGCCCAAAGACTAGAATGTAAATTCTTAGGGGTCCTACCCTCCTTGGGTTCACAGAGAGCCTCGTCCCTGAAGGCTCTGCTCGTTTGTTTTAAATTAGGAACCACAAAGAGACGCGTGGCCCACCACGGAGACCACTCCCGTGTCAGAATAAGGCCTGCAGGCCCGGCCGGTGCGGCTCAGTGGTTGAGCATCGACCTAGGAACCAGGAGGTCACGATCTGATTCCCAGTCAGGGCACTGGCCCGGGTTTCAGGCTCGATCCCCAGGAGGGGGCGTGTAGGAGGCAGCCGATCAATCATTCTCATCACTGATATTTCTATTTCTCTTTCCTTCTCCCTTCCTCGCTGAAATCAATAAAAATACGTTAAAAAAAGGTCTGTGGAAAGAGGAGCCCGGCTCGGAGCAGACCCTGGGGAGGGTGTGGAGCCCAGGGGAGCCCTTCCCCACCCAGGTCCTTCACGGCCGCGCGTGCCACAGCGGGAGGGGCCCCGAGGACTCTGCTGCCCACCAGCTGCCACTCACCCGAGGTAGATGTAGGTGAAGAGGAACAGCAGCATCAGCGAGGACATGATCAGCCAGCCGTGGATGAACTAGAGAGAAGCAGGCAGCGTGAGCACAGGTGCCCCAGCCCCATCGCAGCCTCAGGCTCCTGGCGCTGACGATGCCCACGCCGGGAACCCTCCTTCCTCAGGCTCCTCCGCGGCTGGGCTGGAGGGCCGGGGTGGCCGTTCTCCAGGCAAACGGCACAGAAATTCAAGGTCTCCCTAGGCCGCCCTGCAAGTGTACGGAGACCCAACCGCTTTAGGCCTAACACCTGGCCCTGGACCCACTCAGAGGACATGCTGGCGTCCCTACACGCCAGGCACTGTCTGGGCGCTTGAGGAAGCCAGCACAGCCTCTGCCCACTCGTGCTGCATTCCAGTGTGAGGGCAGCGAGGCGACACACACATACACACGCATCGTGACAGACGGCGGCAAGGGCTCTGAAGAACACCAGCCGCAGTCTGGTCCCAGGAAAGCCACCGGTGCTTAGACGAGTGGGCAGGGCAGGCTCTTGGAGAGGCTTCTTTTGAACAGAGTCAACCCAGGGAGTCCTCCCCACTTGAGGGTCTGCAAAGTGCTCTCCTCCCTGCCAAGCGGGGGAGGGTGAAGGACAGGGGGCTGATCCTCAGCCAGTCCTGGGCCCGGCACAGGGCACAGACTGACGCTCCTTCCAGCCTCCCCACCTGCAGACAGGCCCAGCTCGGGACACGGCGCCTCAGGCAGGACCTGGCCCCCCAGGAGTGAGGCCGTGGCCTTGTCAGGGCCCGGCTGCCTCTGGAACGTGCCAACACTTTATCACAGCAGCCCCGCCCGCCCAAGGCCATGGCCATCACCTGAGGTCATGGGACCTGCAAGTAAACCTGACTGCACAGCCCCGGGACTGGCCACCTGGTGCCTACTGACCACAGCAGTGCTGGTCCCCCACTCCCGGCTCCCAGCTGGGTCTCATCTGTGCTCCGGACAAGCAGCCCTCCACCCTCTTCCCCCGTCCACCACCCTCCCCATCCCAACCGAAAACTCGGGCTCACCTGCACAGGTCATTACCTATCGATAAGCTCAGCGCCCGCACACCTCCTGACAGCCCTCCCTTCATGCCCCCCACTTCCACCCCAGCTGGGAGGGGGCTCATCTCTTCAGGCCGAGCTTCCTTCCCTCCCTCTACCTGCCCCACAGAAGGCGGCAGCCTGAGTACAACTGGCTC